CTCTCTGTCTCTCCAACGCCGCTTTCTCACTGCCGCGGAAGCGCTACCCTTTTCTACCGCGTCGACGAAATCGCGCAGTCGCGTCAATACACACCCCCTGACCCCCCGTTTAACTATATGACGACCAGGTGGCACTAGTAGCAGTGGTGACCGGCTCGTTTGATCCTTCTCGCTCCGACTCGAGTTTTTATTGCCCGTTCTCTCGTTCGTCGATTCGATCGACCCTGCTGCGTGACACGGCGACTCCTCGTGGCGAAGCTTATACGATCCCTACAATAGATACTGGAGAAAACGATTCTGTACGAGCGAACCCACTTACTTCCCTTCTTCGACCCTCTCAACGCGTTCTGGCAGATAGTCAGACGTGCAATAGTCAGGATAGTCGGACAGGTGACTCGTGGTAGGGTTATGTGCCGATATGTAATGGAATTAAAAGCGAAACGGGAAGGACAGAAGCAGAGAGAGAGAGAGAGAGAGAGAGAGAGAGAGAAAGTATAGGGTGAAGACGAAGGAAAGATAGGCCGAGAGTTTCGATATGCGTCTGACTGGCACGGAATTCCGCGAGAGAATGACTAGACGTTAGGAAAGCATTTCGTACAGCTTCCTGCCACAGCTATGGAAGCGTAATCATTTAGTTATCGCTTTACACGTATTATACGCGTTTTATCGTTTTAACGCACTCTGATTTCATTTATTAATTTCCAGGTTTCTCAAACACGATTGTCCGTTGAAAATATAATTATACACGAACACGGTAAAACTCAAGGATATTTGAAACTATAAGTCAAAACTATTAATTTATATACTAAATTATTTTAAAGGTAACTGCGTAACATGAATATAATAAACATGAATATAATACGATAAAACGGTAATTATTACGTAATTGCGTCTATATGAGACTTATAAAATTTGTAGAAATAACCTCAAATTCTCACAATTAGCGAAATAAATTTTATTTTAAAAGGTTGTTGATTCCAGGTTTGGTTGTGTACGCTTCTAATACAGTAGTAATGATTATTACCTCGTTCTGACCGTAACCCAAAGTGGATCGAATAAGGTTTGACACGGTTAAAGGAAGAAATGTAACAACGAGATTGTTTATTTATAATTTGTGGTTATCAGTTAATGGTAAAAATATTGTATATTCAATTACCCAACTTTAGTAGCATCTACGAAAATATATATAAGAGAAGTACTTATTTTTTACCTATATAATTTAGATCTTTTATCGGTATTGTGTTATATGTCACGACATTATTCAGAGTCTTATATAATAATTTAATGAACTTCCTTAGATATATCACACCACATCCGTAACAGATGTCGATAATGCGTAATGGATATAAGCACTTTAAGTACTATTACAGCTGAAATAACTTTATTATGATAAACTTATAACAAAATCTTAAGCCGAATAAATTACACGAAGTACATCAAATACGAGATACGTGTCTGTTGATGAAATTGATATAATTTCCTTGTTATTCGAAATTATTCGTTTAATTTATTTACATATTTTTACAGAATGTCGTCCTGATACGAAAAATAAAGGGTGTAAAAAACATAATTAATGAAGATGTCTACTTAACGCACAATAAATAAAAACCTATTTTATGTGGAACCATAATGCAGTATCTATGTCGCTTACTTCACCATACATGCACTCTCTTACATAACGAAAGTCCTGTGGATCGATTGCACTCAAAATGGCCAATTTAGTAAATTTTAGTAACAAAATTCGACAGTATACATTCATAATAATTTTCTATTTCTCGCTAATATCGCGTCGTCATTTGGTTAAAAAAAAAAAAAAAAATAATAATAACGATTACAAAGTATAAATAAAAATGAACCAACTACTGACATTAACGTGTTACTTGTCGTATCTTCTACTGTGGTTGCATAAATACAGCAAAAGCTGTAAAAATAGTATTCTACGATACTATATATGTAGGTTATCAAAAGAACTCGAGTTATTTGATATTTAATAATTATATGGAATATTTTATTAGTTTACTTTTAACCACATCAAAATATACATTTAATTTATTTTATTTACTTCAATTCATTTGTATTACAAATTACTATAATTTTTGTCTACAGCACACAATGTATAATTATTGTTATATATTATCCATCCGGCAGATGCAATGCACGAGATCTTTTTGTTAAGTCTCTAAGAAAGATTTAGCTCTTTTACAATTAGACCCTTTCCTTCGAGGAATCGCTCCTGCTTATGAACATTATATTGAAGTCTCGAGAAATGTACGTATATAAAAAAGCAACATTTTATACAATTTACCTCAACGCATCTTTTTAAAATAATAGTCTCGGCGTATCTTGTACTATTCAATTGAATCTGAATTTAAACTATATTTACTTTATACAAACGAATTAAGCGGTGCATCTATAATTAAATGCTAGATTCTCATCACATTTTCAGAATAGGCTAAGAGTATACTTTTAACCAGTTTCTCGATTTATTTACAAATGACATTACGTTCCTTCATGTGTTATAATCGCATGTATAGGTAAAGAAATTATGTGCATTAAACAATGTCACGGGTTCAATGTGTTACAAATTTGATAATATCGATAATATCGCAAAATAATCGTAATTGCACTACAGAAGCGTGTTTATTTACACAGCTTGCTTTCTTTTCCTTTTGTACTATCGCACATAAAGAAAGTACAGTTTCATAAGACGCACGTATCCTAAACACACCGGCTAAAAGTGTAGACGGATTGGTTGGTAACGTTTTTTATTAAATATTTCATTACAGGAGGTTAAAATATTTATAATGCATTCAAATAACAGAATTTACAAATATATCTCAATATTTCCATATATATGTATGTATATATATAGTGTGTATATACACATCACATATTTGTATGTAAATCTTGCTTCTTTCCCCTACCTCGCTATAATTTTCATACATACTTGCTTATCATACACTCTTCCCCTTTCGCACCGATTCTTATTTACATGACGTAGAGTGGCACATACTCTCTCATACAGATTTTTTTTCATTTTCAAATTTCTTTTTTGTTTTTTTGTGTTTTGTCCCATTACACGTTTCCGTACCACGATAACATTACTACTAGTCACCGCGACGAGAAAATCTGATCCTCTCACATGAGCGACCGTCTACAAAAACCGAATGAGTCTCATCTTGCACAGGATACTTTCTACATATCTTTTTTTTTTATTTTTTTTTTTTTATTTTTTTTCTTTTTCTATTCATCTTCGAATATTCGTAATTACAATCGTACATTGACCATTAAGCAGCACGCTTACCCCCGCTTGATTTTGCTTTTTTCACCGTTTCCATCGGAAAACCAGGCTTATTCTCTACTTCCTATTTCTTTCAAAATGGCGACTTCCCCGTTAGCGTATTGCGTTCTTTGTTTCATGCTATTTTTTTCATTTTTTTGTTTGTTTTCTCTTTTTTCGTCTTTTTATACTTTATTCTCGTCCTCGTCCAAAGCACGTATTGTCTTCGTGAGTCTCGGTTAAACCTTTCGAATCGACGGTCACTTCATGCAAATGTTATTTATTGTATGACGAGCTCGGCTCGCGAAACGCAGCAAATGTACATCGTAATTGTAAGCGCTTTTAAGTCACTATGCCGACGGTATCTTGACATATATATCTGCGTATGCACGTATATTCGCGTGTTTCTGTTTGCACACTAGATGTACCTGTATGTGTATTTCGTTAGATCTTTCCTTCTTTCTTCTCTGTTAACTTTCTCTGTACAATCTTAATCGCTGCCCAATTACACCCCTGTATGTCCAAAAGTATTTTGGAGAGGAAAAAAAAAAAAAAAGAAAAAGAAAAAAGACGTACACACGGCCCTAGTCCAATTTTCTGTTTAACATTATCCTTTCTCACCTTCATTTTTTTTATAATTTCATTTTAGCTACAATCGATCTTACTCGATTAATATTAGAGATGTAAAGTGTCGAGAAAGTTTTGTTGGGATATTATTCGATTTTTTTTTTTTTTTTTTTTTTTTTTTTTTTTTTTTTTTAGGTATAAAATATACATATCATATTGTTTTTTTCTTTCTTCTTTTTTCTTTTTTTGTTTTTTTTTTGTTTTCTATTTTTAGATATACCAGAGACGCGAGCTTTTAGACATTTGAGCTGATTCTTTGTAATGTAAGATAGCTATGATTGCTTGTACTTCGTAATTTATTGTTACCTTTATTTTAATTGTATTAATAAATTCGTATAGGAAAGAGAAAAGAAAATCTGTGAGCAACCATTTTCGACCGAAGCACAGAAAAGAAACACACTTTAGGAACAGTAGCTAAAAGTGCTAATAGAGATTAGTAACACAAACAGTTATTGCTAAAACTAAGAATTAAATTACGAGATAGTAATTAGAAAAAACAATCAAAATTACATGTTAAGATGTACGACATCTGAGTCAATGTTTTTTCCTTTTTTTGTTTTTTGTTGCTTTTTTTTTTTTTTTTTTTTTTTTTTTTTTTTTTTTTTAAATTCTTAATAATCGTCGACATTTTCTAAAAACAAAAATGGCTCTTATTTTGAAAAATGATTCAATCTTTCCGGAAAATTTACATCTCTATTTTACATATATATATAAATATATACACCCACCCACGCACACACACGCACACGCACTCACGCACGCACGCACGCACACACACATGTATGTATATGTATATATATGTATATATATATATATAAATGATTATATATATAAATATATACATGCATATATGTATATAATTTATTACTATAATTATTATAATTAATATTATTATTATTTTATTACAATTACTACCACTAATTTCTCACGCTCCTGTTCTACGGCTTCTGTTCAAGTGATATGGTTCTTTGACTTTTTGATTCTTTTAGGTATAATACTGATTTGATCAAGAGCATTTGAACTTTTTTTCGAACTTGAACAACATAACGCACATATTGCATTCAAGAACAATTTTCTTATCCTTTTCTCTCTTCCATTTACATATTTCACTAATTTAAATGCGTACTTAACGGTACTTACTAAACAAAGGAGTCTTTTAAAGGAGTCATAGTAGGCAGCTTGCCACAAAGTTACAACTAATGAAAGTAGTTACACACCGTTTTACGATGATGATTAATTAAATATTGTCAACAATAATATTTTTCTGAGAATTCGATAATGACAAAAATTGAGAAACATATATTTCTCATAAAATTTTCAATTGTACCAGCCAAACATATGAAATTGATGAAATGCAATAAAATGAGTGTAGTCGATATAATAAAAATGACAATTCCTTAGTTAAATTCTTCATAATAGAATTTCTTTTTTGTTATATAACAACCATGTACTAAATCATGTTGTTAAACATGACATTATTGCTAAAGTGATATTTTACCACTCTTTTTTTTATATATATAACTGCAGATTAGCAACGAAAACAGAACTTCCTTATTGCTGCTTACAACATTAATGCTATACGATATCCACATATAAAAACATATATTGATGTTACGCTAGAAAATATTGCTTAACAGTTAAGAGAAGAAATATCGCATTCATCTTATTGCCAATGACATGAGATATACTAAAACATATTCTCTTGGCTATCAGTGTTAACAGTTAGTAAACAGCAATAAAGTATTACATTTTAATAATTACTATTGCTTCTGATAACACAATCAATTGTAACTATAATACCACTTGGACAACGATAATTTATTATCGTTTAGCAAAGTGGAATATTTATCCTTTACCACTTATAGATTCATTTGGAACTATATTTAAAAATAGTTTAATGTCTTTAATTTCACAAACGAAATTTGTCCAAAAAATGAGGATTATTAAGTTAGAGTTTTATCACAAAAGTTTAATTGAAAGAATTATGGTATTTTTGTTTAATATATGTTGTAAATTTAGACTCCTTTGTTTCATATTTGAACAAGCTCACAAAACCTTTGCACTATTTTTAACTTGCTCTTGTCAAGCAACAAATCTAAATGTATGACGTAATACAAACAGAATATTTCATGAAACTTGTTTAGACAAAATCTGCCTTTTACTACTGACGTTAATTCAAAAGACAAAATACTCACGAATACCAAGAAATTTATTTGTATTATGAAATTGAAAAAAATGTTCACATTTAGAGCTTTAATATGAATTTTTAAACACTTCTCATCAGTCACAGCCACTTCGAATCTTTTCTCAGGTAATTTTTAAAAATCATCACTAACGATAACGGCAAGATAAATCTCAACCTTTATTTTTTTCTTAATAGACCGGTATGAAGACACTGGGTGTTCAAAGAAAAATGGCACGTTTAATAAATGTTACCTAAATACCGAATCAGACCCTAGTAATTACAACACAGTCGAATTTCTTATAAAAGTTGACAAAAGTTTTACTAATATATATAATAAGAACATCATTTTTCCGTCTTTTAACAATTAATTTTTGGCTTTCTTTGGAATTTGAACAATTAAATATTGTTTAGAAATAAGAAACGACTTTCATATTGTATACAATAATGTATAAAAAGCAATATCATTATAGAGAGTTATCACTGTCATAATAAAATTAATAAGTCAGATTCAAAGGTAACATTAAAATCATCAACTCTGAACTTTCTCTTCTTGTCAAACTTTTATCCTGACAAAACTAACTCTAAAATATTAGTCCCAAAATTTTTGTGGCTACTGACTAGCTGCCAAAAAATTTATTACCAACCAAAAAAAGAAAAAAGTATAACACCTGAGAAATTCTTTATACCCAGAAGCTATTGAAGGGAAGTTTTTAAATGCATGTGTATTCAAAGTCACACATATCCACTCTCATTCACTTGTATAACTTTTCAGTCCTTATTACTTTAGGTATCTAAGATCCATTTTACATAGATCAAGTGCATAGTATGAGAGCCTTACGATTAAAAATTATGAATCATCGTAAGTATGGGAACTAGATAAAGATTTGCCAAATTATGCACTCTAATAGAATTAGATTGACACTCACTAATGGTGTTTCTTCTTTTTAATTAAGAATTGGTTTAAATGCAGTAGCAACTTGTTGACAAGGCTAGTCCAACGCAGATTGCCACTCCACTCATACCTAACACTAGTACATACTTGAGTCATTATTCTTTCCTTTTTTTTTTATTACTTACTAACAAGATTTTAAACGCATATAACGCATTGCTTACACTTAAAAAAGATGGGCGATCAATAAAACTCGTATAAAATTGCTTAAGTTGCACGTGATTGCATGACTATTTGTATAAATAGGATGAGAATTATTGTTATTTAACTAACTATTCATAAGTTAAGAAATGAGTGGTGAACTATATTTATAGTTTTATACACACAGGAGCGCAAAGGCAGCTAGACAATCGAACACTTATGGTTTGTTGTTCTTTCATTCTTTCATTCTTTCATTCTTTCTTTCTTTCTTCCTTCTCTCTCTCTCTCTCTCTCTCTCTCTCTCTCTCTCTCTTTTTCTCTCTCCCTCTCTTTCTTATGTACATTCGTTCTTTACTCTTTCCAACTTTGTTTACTTCCTCTGTTCTCATCATTCACTTTTGCACTCGTTCAAACATTGCGCACGTAAGAATTGAGAAAATATGTATACATAAAAATGTCGTGGCTCAGTAGCGATAATAGAAGTAATAGTAATAGTTTAATAGTAATAGTAGTAATAGTGGTAGTAGACATACTAGTAGAAGTAAAAGTATCAATGATAAATATAGTCAAACATGGTAGTTTCATCTAATCAGAGCACAATGCGTTCTTTTTTCTTGTATTTCGTTTATGGCTAGTTACTAGAGAAATAGGGAGAAATTGGGTTGAGACGTGCTGTATGTGTGTGTGCGAACGCGCACATGTGCGCGTGTGTGTCTGTTTATATGTAGTCCATTATATCGTTGGTAAGACACGAGTCAATACCTAACACAAACCTCTCAAAATGTATTCTAAAAACATAGATAAGAGCATTCTGCGTTACGCTTCTCTCTGTTTTTCCTTTGTACATGATGCTACGTTTTTTTACAATCATAATTAAGAATTACTATCATAAATAAGAACTTGTAAAAAGTATACCTGGTACCGTGAATCGCGAAAATTCCTCTGTTAAAAAATTGTCGTCTTGAATATAAGGGATGTCTACAAAGATCACCGAAAACTTGCACGAGGAGCGATAGCAGTCATCTTTTGAACGGTACTTAGGTTGTATTGCTGTGGCGGGATCGTAGTAATAGTAGTAGTGACAATGATGGTAACAATAATTACGATAATGATGATAATGATAAATTGCTGGATGGTCCGCGGCAGGGGATCACTTGTCAGAACTTGGGCATTCTCCAGGTTGTTTCATTATACTGTAGTCTAGGCGATATTGAGCTGAAAATAAGAGTATCATTTATCATATTTCGTTTGTATACAACTATAAGCAATAAATCTATATATAAGACATACATTTCTAAAAATTCACTATATAGCGAAAATTGAATTAACATTACAATTAATTTAATATAATTAAGAAATATAAAAATGAAACGTAATAAAAAAGGTTAGATATTGATGATACTTTACAGACAAGAATATTATTAAAGAAATCATGTGTGCACAATATAAATACACAAGCACGCATAAATTTAAATCCAAATCACACTACTATGAATTGAAATATAATTGTTCACAGTGTAAGTATATACATATATAGGAAATTCGATAAAAATTCATTGTAGTAAATGCAACATAAATAATACTTCCTACTTAAAAATAAAGGTTACGTAAAAAACTAATAGATAGATAAATTAAAAGAAACTTACCTTTTTTGGTAAGATCCTCCATAGTTTGATCTTTACAATCAACTGCAAGATGACTACTACTGCCACAATTATAACACGAAATTTTCGTTGGTGGGACGGCAGCTGGTGCATATGTAACAACTGGGGTAGGTGGCATATACGGCGCCTGAACAGGTGTCGCAGCTGCATTCGGTGGAGGTGGTGGTGTCCCTCCCGAAGATGGATGTCCAGGATATTGGTACATCATTTCACCATTCGGTTGGTACGTGGTCGGATAAGCTGGCCTTGCATACGGTCCATGCGAGAAGTTAGAATAAATACCACTACTCGGTCTCAAAGCCGGAAAATGACCATGCGGCAGATACGTGACCTGCGAATGCGATGGTGGCGCGGGAAAGGAAACGCATTGTGAAAGATTCGGTGGTCCACCGCCGTTCACCATTTGATTTTTATGGCGCATTACATGCGTCTGATTTCTTCTAGTACGTTGCCTTTCCGGGCCCGACTGTATGGGCTGTTGGGATACTGGATGTGATACTGCACTTGTAGAATGTACCGATGCAGAGCTTAGATGGTCAGTAACTGATGGTGCATTGCTTTCGCTTCCGCTCACCCACGGTGCTGCTGGAGGAGTTTCTGGCGGAGATCTACTACCAGTACTATCGGAACTACTGCTCTGTGAACAGTGCCTACTGCTCTCAGGGTCTAACCTTAGGGCTTGTAATTGTGCCAAACAATATACATGTTGAGCATTGCACCTAAAATATTTTAAAGTAGTGTTAATTCAAAGGTTGATTTCGATAATATTATATTATTGTACATTTCTTTCC